GCTGGGCCTGCCTCCCCCCACCCCATCGCCCCCAATCTCATACTTGAATTGAAGATGGAAAAGCATTGCCCCCACTGTTGAATGAGGAATAAACTTTGTCTCAGAATTGAGTAAATACAGTAAATGTGTAGGTCAATTATTTAGCACTCCAAAAATGCTTAAATTTCTTCCACTACAATTGCTGTAAGGATTCAGGGCAGATGGGGACAGGGATATGTTTTCTCTCAGATTGTGGTGGGGAGACATTTTTCCTGAGGAATGGTAAAAAAAACAAAACCCACATAGGCTGTATTGTATAAAAGTATGATATTAAGCATGTGCTCTGTGACTCATGTCTAGAATAAAAATGTGTTCAGCTTCGGAAGTAAATTGCAAGTGTAGCATAGCTGAGATCCCTGTTTCATAGAAGCGTAGAGAAGCAGGGCTGGGAGGGACCTCCAGACGTCTAGCTCAATCCTCTGCCTTGTTAGCTAGGGGCACCACTGTCATGTATCTCCCTCAGCTGCTATTAAACTTTAAACCCTCTGGGTTTTTAATGCCTTTCATCACTGTGCATTGCAAAAGGAAGGACAATATTTCATAATAATGAAACCATTCCAATACTGAAGCACTTGATAATAGTTGTAACTGTAAATAAATGGAAAGTGTTTTCTTTATCACAAATCTGTTCTTTTTCAGGTTTGCTCTCATGAATAGGAAAGTTTTAGACATATTTGATACTGAAGCATCTAGACACTTCAAGGATTTCATCCCTAGACTTGACCCAAGATACACTGTTGTCCCACCGGAGTTCCCCATTGAGCTGTCTTGAACATTCAATGTGTTTCAGTGTGATTGGCCTTTTGTCCTGAAAAGCTAATTAACATTCAGATAGATGGAGGAGGGCTTGTGCTCCACTTCAGTATTATTTCAATGAGAAATGCTTTTTTCCAATCAAAATACTGAAGCTTTGTAGGAAGATGCGGCTTAATAATTAAGCCTCTTCCATAGCCAGAAAATGTTTCTGGATTGCTATAGTTGGATGACAATATGGTAGATTATTGATTGAATTAAATCAATGAGTAATATATTTAGAAAAGTAAAATACACCTAAGAAATAAATATACTTAATAATATTTTCAAAATTCTTTAGCTCATTCCAGTAGAATATTTCATGGTATAACTACGAATAATTACAGACTGAGACAGGAACGCTTTTCTCAAACTGTCCGAATCTGGTGAGCTACGTCACCCGGATCCAGTTATATGCTTAAAAAAAAATCCATCTTTCCATTTACTGAAAATTTTAAAAGAAACCTTTAGCCCCTGTTCATTCAAAATGACAATATTTTTTTTGTCATTCAAAATGACAATATTTTTTTACCCAGATGTGGCTGCAAAAGAAAGCATCCCATCAACAAAAGGGGCACTGGTTAATTTGTAAGTCATGCTCCAGGGCTGTAATGCTATTGATGATGTGGGTGACAAAAGAAAAGGGCAGTTCACAGTGTCTTGTGCTGCTTAGGAAATGGAAGGGTGTGGTAGTTAGCATCTGCCAAATGAAAAATGGCAAAGCACCAAGGAGAAGGAATGTCATGTTTAAACTCTTGGGAGGGTACTGCAAACTGGACAGTTAAAAAAAAAAAAAAAAAAAAAAAACTTTAAAAAAGGGTTTTCAAAAAACTCTTTTAAAGGGAATTTTTTTTTTTTTTAAATTTCCCTTTTGCGGAACCCCCCCAAAAGTTTAAAAAAAAAAAAAAAAAAAAAAAACCACATGCAAATTAAATACATTTGACAAGAGGCTTGTCAAGTACTCTGTTAGATGGAATCTGTTTGATATTTAAACCTCAATACAAGCTTGCAAATCCAGTGGCCTTCAAAAGGGAGAAAAATCCTAACGTTTGACTGTAGTAGCAAAACAGTTTTGACAGGTTTTGTAGTCGTATTTTTTCACGTTCTGTTGTTCCTAGTATTAAGTGAAAATTGTTTTTCCCTCAGTATTTCCCACAGTCATAACTATGGCATTTACATGAAATTTAACGTGGTCCTTAATAGAAATAAATATCTGCTCAAAATCCACCTCATTCTTTCCCTGCATGTTTTTGGGGTTGTGTTTTTTTTCACAGATGACATTTCACCTGGGTGTTCTACAGTGAAATTTTGATGTGCTAATGTCATTGCAACTTTTGGTTTTTAAAGTCATTTCAGAGCAGTGTGCTGACCTATGTTCAGAGTTTCCTAGCATTTTAGAGAAAAGATGATCTTTACTTAGATACAACTAAAAGCACCAGACAAGCGATGTGTCTATGAATGGAAAATACAGCCTGAATACATACAGTTTTTAAAAAACGGTGTATATGCTGGAAGTGCTTGCCACAAGATATGTGTAGAAATTTAACTAGTTGGTAGACCTGTTGTCATCTAACAATGTCAGTCTAGCCCAGCTGTAAATGCACTTCTGTTTAATTACACAACTTCATGTGCCCCAATATTTAAGTCCCACTTACGTTATTGTCGTGAAGACGTACCAGCTAGTGCACAAAATCTGCTTGGCCATTCTTTACCCGCATAATGATCGTCAAGCAATGATGCATCATCCTTTGTCAAAATAAAGTACTTGGCCCAAACTGTGGGGGCAAGGAAAATTTTGCAATGTGGTTTGCATACAATTTTTATTTGCTTGTAATGGCAAACAAAAATAGCATCAACCCCCCCCCCCAAATCAAGCGGGCTTTAGCAGATTGGATGGTAGGAACACTGGAAAGATTGTTTATCATTGGAATTTCTAAAAGATTTGACCTTTTGAAGACTGAATGTTATATGATTGGGGTAAGATTTTAGAATGGACGCTTTATTATGAGTGTTCACTAGTGTGACTATGTGCCAGTTTCAGAGTTCAACTCTTTTACAGATAACTTTGCTTTACTTTCTTCACTGGAATGAAAATGGTGTTTGACGCCATATTTGAGTTACAAGATCTGAGCACTGTTTCTTACTAGTTAGACAACAGTTCTCTCTGAATAATCTTGTTTCCTCCATTAAATAATCCTAGTTTTTAATGGCTTTTGTGTAATGTAAAAATAAAGCTTCTTAAATTATTTTTATTCGACTCAGCTATATGTATGAAGGAAAGAATCATCAGTTCTTATATTTTTCCCCAGATAATAAAACATTTGCAGCTTGGAAAAAATACAGTTTTCTCATTTGTTTTTGTTAATAAAAGGCCTGAAGTCACCCGGTGTTGGTTCTTGAATACCTCTGGTGTGTCTGAGCTCTGTATGTTTAACTTGTCCATCTTGGCAATAGAAGCCAAAGAGAGAGCAACAAATAGCCCTTGCTATTTTTTTAAATTTTATAAAAAATATATCTTGCACAAGAAAATATGATTCTAGTCCATAAGACTCCATTTTAAATGCAATGTAAAGTTTGGACAGATCACAAATCAGCCAACAGAAAAAGAAACAACTGATCATCCAACACTTTGCCCTTTTATATGAAATCATTATGATAGTGGTAATACACTGCTATGTAATTGCTAGATTTACTTTTATTAGTAGATGTTTAGGATTGGGAATCCAGAAAAAAGATGACAAAGCTGATACGGAAATACAGAGCGCCCGAGCGAGGGACTAACAATGGAGGGATGGGGGTGAGGAGGGGAGTGCAGCTAGGTTACAGGCAATGTTAGCCAACTAAGCCCGGGGGAAGGGGAGGGAGGGGGTTCGCGACACTGAGAGAGAAAGGAGATAGATACACACAAACCCGTTACAATGGTCCGCAATGGTGGAGGAAGTGGCTTGGAGGAAGCGTCTCAGTAAATACACTTTAACCTTAGCCATGCAAGTTTATATAAGACAATATGACCAAGACTTGGCTTGTTTGAATATGATGCATTCTTTACAGTGGCAGATTTAAGATTGTAATCATCTTTTTGCTTTTTTGGATGTTGTGAGTCCTCTACATACATTTTTGCAGAACCCTACTTGGTTGTTTCTTCTCTCTTAATAATTTGACATTTACCAATGGGGTGCACTGATAGAGATTTTTTGGGCCCATGCTGATGGCCAATTTTTAAGGATCCATATCAGCCAATACTGATCTAACTGGTGAAATGCAGCCTGGCAGCTTGGAAAGCAGTGTCAGGCTGGTAAGTCTGTTGAGGAGGAAGCGGGGGGGCATGGGGGATGCAGATCGAATCCTCTGCAGGGAGGGAGGGAGTGGGGCTGGGGCAGGAATAGGAACTGCCCAGCCAGGACAGTGCATGGCATGGGATTTAGCAATAAGCAGGTCATCCGGGAGATGCGGCTTCCACCACAACATGCACCCCAGGAGGGCATGGGGGGCATGTGTGTCTTGGATCTGTGCATAGGGCGAGGGTGGGATGCTGCTGTGGGCTGGAGCCAGGGCTGCTCCAAGCTCTTCCTGGCAGGGGGTTTGAGCTACACTCAGAGCAGGTGGCGGCACTGCTTGGATCTGTGGGCGGCACGCACAGTTCCAAGGAGCACATGGCCCCCCACACCCATACTCTCCTGGGGTGCATGTAGCAGTGGGAGCCCCCTCGCCCGTGCCTCCCAGCCAAGCCACTTGTGGCTCCATCCCATGCCCTGCCTTGGCTGGGCAGTCCCTGCCCCAGCTCCACTCCCTCCCTCACTGCAGGGGCCTCAATTTGCCCTCCCCACACCCCTTCCCTCCCTCCACCCCTTCCCCAACCACAGACTTACCAGCCCGATACTGCTCTCCATGCTGCCGGGCTGCACTCCTGGTTGCCTTTGTGCTACTCTGTGCCTGCGTGCATGCACAGGGCTTCTATCAGTGACATTATCAGCCACATCAGCCAATAAAAAGCCAATTGCTGATACTGTCAATTTTCCTTATATCGGTGCCAATCCAATATGGGACAGATGTATTGATGCACCTCTATTTACCAGTACGCTTTGGGTCCCATCGCCTTATGAGATTTCTTTTATTCCCGCACTTAATGCTTACCCTGGGGGTCTATTGAGGATGATGATAATTGTAGTTTGGATCCATTAGAGAAGAGGAATATAAAATTCAGTTTCTCTTGGATTTTCCTTCAGTCTTGTGCTGTCGTTTGGTGTGCCTGGCTTAGCTGCATGTTCTCTAGCTCTCTACATAGTTGTAAATTATGATGAATGATCACTTAAATAGGTCAGCATTGATTCATTGATTGGCATAAAGCTAGCATGAGTATCACAGACAGGTCCCTGTCCCCAAAAGATTCAACAAAATGGGCAGAGAGGGGGCAGAATATAAAAGGGAATACTAAGAGCAAGTGGTATCATTTTGATGAGCATCCTTGTTCCTGTTAAGATTTTTATAGTGTTGGTCTTCTAACTACATGTCTAGTATTCTGTAATCTGCTGCCTTGGGAACACATATCACCATTTATGCTGTAATCATTACTTCTTCCTGATCCAGTAGTGCAGAGGTGTCAAATTCATCCTGCCCTGTGGGCCAGGTCGTGGGCGCTAGGCTGGTTTGTGGGCTGGATCGGACCCAAAGACTGACCACGTGCACTGGGGCCAGCGCACAGGGCCAGTCCAGTGTGGACACTTCATGTGGTGCACAGCCTGCATTCAGCACACATCAACCCAAGTCCAGGGCTTGCACATGGAGCTGTCATGAGGTGCCCACTACATGAGGTGACTGTTTCATATCCACCCTGTGTGCTGGTTCTGGTGCATACAACTGGTCTGTGGGCCTGACCTGGACTTAAGAGTCATAGAATCATAGAAAATTGGAAAGGACCTCAGGAGGTCATCTAGTCCAGTGGTTCTCAACCTTTTTTGTACTAGGATCCATTTGTAAATATGGATGGCCAGTCCCAAGCCAGTGGCCCTCACCCTCAGCTCTCCAGTGTGTGGGGCACGGGGTAGGTATGTGGAGTGGGCCTGTGTGTATGGGGTGGGGAGGAGCAAGCAGCCCCTTGCAGGTTGGAACTCTGGCAGTCTGCAGGGGAAAAGACACGGTTTTCCACATTTTTCTCATTTAAAAGAGAATCCATTTTTTAAGTTTGTTCATGACCCTTGCATATATTTTTGCAACCCACCTTTGGGTTGTGACCCACGGGGTGAGAGACACTGATCTATTCCAACCCCCTGCTCAAAGCAGGAGCATCCCCAAGTAGATCATCCCAGCCAAGTTGTTGTCTAGCCGGGTCTTAAAAAACCTCCAAGAATGGAGCTTCCACCACCTCTCTGGGTAACCTGTTCCAGTGCTTTACAATCCTCCTAGTGAGAGTTTTTTCTACTATCTAACCTAAACTTCGCTTGCTGCAACCTGAAACTATAGCTCCTTGTTCTGTTGTCTGCCACCACTTGCCCTGAAGCCAGTATGTAGGGCAGGTCCCGTGCAGCTCTGCATGTAGTGCATACCACAGATTAGCCCTCTGTTGTGTGTAGTGTGTGTGCCCAATCCAGCCCCGTGCACTGCATGCAGCATGCACCAGCACTGGTCTGGGGCTCTCACTGTACATGTTGCACGCACTGCATATGGCAATTATGTCAGACTGGCCCTGCGGACTGGCTCTAGAGCACAGGAATGGTCTGGGCCCAATCTGGAATAGCACCAGAGCCAGTGCGCAGGGCTGGGCTGGTGCAGATGTCACATGCCATGTGTGCCTTTGATCCTGTGCTG